CTCTCTCTCTCTCTCTCACTCAGGGGCGGCACGGTGATCGACTGGTTAGCACACCCGCCACACAGTGTAGAGATTCGATTCCGGCTCCGGCCTTCCTCTGTGGAGTTTGCGTGTTCTCCCCGTGCCTGTGTGGGGGTTTTTTCCGGGTGCTCCGGTTTACTTCTACATTCCAAAAACATGCATGGCAGGTTAATGGAACACTCCAAATTGTCCCTATGTGTGACTGTGAGTGTGAATGGTTGTTTGTCTATGTGTGCCCTGCAATTGGCTGGCATCCAGTTCAGGGTGTACCCCGCCTACTGCCCAAAGACAGCTGGGATGGGCTCCAGCACACCTGCGACCCTTGTGAGGATAAGTGGATTGGAAAATGGATGGATGGATGTATATCATCCATGCAATATTACATTCATCTTGGGAAAGATTTCAAATGACAAGCACTCCGAAACCACATTTGGTGCCTTTGCGAATATGACAAGGTTCTGCTAGAGGAGATTTCAAAGTAAAAGCCCAAAACGTCACCCACGCTATATGAAAGCATTCTCCTGGTTGGTGGATTTCAAACGCTCCAAATGTTACCCAGGCAATATGAAATTGTTCCTCCATGTGGGTTTCAGAATAAAAGCTTACCTATGAATAATGACGATCCATTGAACTATAGCCATACTGCTTGCATACTCTTGAACGCTGAGATTCCTCAACACGATTCAATAAGATGCCATTTATTTCACAATAAAAGCTAAAGATGTCACCCAGGCAATATGAGCATGATCTATGGGGTTTGGAATTTCAAAATAAAGGCTTCTTGAAATCGCATTTTGGTCTTTAACTTTGAAAGCCCACATCCAAATGCGGCAAAACTTCCTGGAAGACATCCTCCACACGTCATGAGAAATGAATTGGAAAGTCAAAAGTAAAAAATGCGAACTAAAATATTGCCGGGTTTTACCGTAACATGCAAATGAAGGCTGTTCCTGGATTTAAAATGTTTTTAATTTCCCTTTGGGAGGCATCTGGACTGCAGCTGCAAGCAGGCGGTGGAACAACGCATGAAGCTCTCACCTCTTGACAGCTAGCAATTTGGTGTTAGCGAGGTCGCGCAAGCTGCCCAGTGGGTGATGATTCATCAGGCACCAAAAAAAAAAGAAAGAAGGAAAAAAAAAAAGCCACCTGGAAGCCGCGACGGGAGAGCAAGGCTGCAGATGTTTTGGATTGGGATGAAAATGAATCCAGAGGAAAAACAAGCCGGCTGGTTGGAGGCGCTTGGAAAACATCGGCTCCACCGGCCGCTGACAGATTCAATTAGCCTCAGCGCTAACGCGGCAGCCAACTATTTTTAACATCCAAATATTTACAGCGCTCTCATTCAAAGTGAACGATGTCACAATATTACAAGAGCCGACCTCCGCCAAGACCAAAACAGTCCAGCCGGCAAAAGATGCTTCGTAAATATGACAAATGAGAAGCTTGTCAGCCTTGTGGGATTGAACAGAAAGTCACAGTCCTGTTCGCGATGAAAGTGGGCGTGTTTTGTCAATCTAGATCACAACTGGCTGAAAATATGGACACCACTGGTGTTGAATGATTTTCAAGATTTATTTTCCTCAATATTGGGAATGCGATTTAACATGTGATTATTATTTCAAAGGTCCTCTTCACCTTTATTGTGAACAAGCACGCACGCATACACACACTTAAACTCCAAGGCTTAAAATCACTTTTTTTGTGGAGCAGTTTTTTTTTTTAATCATTGACTTCATTTGAGGAGCGCCTTTCAATTTTTGAGGAGCAATTTTTTGCAGGTTAATCCCAGGGGATCTGAAGCAAGGGTTTTATTCAAACAGTGGCTCTTGAATGTCGTCACCCTCGTACCCGCACCTGCACGTTCCTACTGTTGCAAAGTCATGAGTCTTTTTCCAGAAGTAAAGAACGACAACCCATTTTTGGAGGGGTTAAAATAGCCTCTGAAAGTTCATGTACAGTATGTTCAATGTGGTTTGATGAAGTGCAAAATGCAAATTTTGTCTTGTAAATTGGGATGAGGAACCGCTTCTTTCGAGCCTGGCACTCCTTATACACACACTCAGACTCTCTGTCTCACTCTCGAACACTCAGACTGTCTGTCTCTCTCTTTCACAAACATACAGACCAGCAGGAGTCTAATCTGAGCAAATTCAATGTGACAGGTGGCACAAAACCAAGCAAACAGCTCATGCAGGAAGATCACATCAGCTCATTCGAATTGTTGTCCCATCATGCGCTGGATCTTGACACACACGCACATTGATGTGGCACAAAGGAAGTGATGTTGGCTCAAAAGCCAGCCCTCCTCATTCCATCTGGTTGCTGGGTCCTAAGTCCCGTCACGGCTGGCACATGTTAGCGGCAAAATGGAGGGCGCGACTACTTGGCTGCTTTTTCCACAAGTTTGCCATGGAAAAATCGACCTCCGACAAGTTGAGCAATGTCCACTCCTCGCTCCGACAATAACAGCATGCAAAGACGAGCTCTGAGCAAATTCTTTTGCCTCTTTCGTATGAATAATACCAGTACAGGCGCGCAAACACCTAACACTCACTGCTGGGCAATTATTCTATTTGTCACGACAGACGCTCGCAAACTTCTACATCCAATGTTAGTAGCACTTATGTTGAAAGTTACAGTTGATATCCAAAAAGCATTTTATATGTCACACCGGACACGGGCAATTTTCTGCCTTCTGAACTAGTATCAGAGCCGCAAGAGACGTGGGACACTGTCTGTGTGAAAGGGTTTTCTGTGACAGCTGACACTCATTTCTGCCACCATGTTACGTCAAAAGAAATTCTAACAAGTCAAAAGTTTACTTCCATCTCTGATTAAAAATATTTGGAAAAAAATTGCTAACCAGTCAATTTAAAAAATATTTGACAGTGACAGCCCTAATTAGAACTCTATGTCACAGATGACAATGGAAATTTTCCACCTTGTGAGGGCGTATCAAAGTCGGAAAAGAGGCGGAACATCTGCCTCAACTCACTTTTACTTCTGCCCTGTTTTGTTGACAGTAATTACTTCTGTCCGACTATTATTCTATTCATCAGGCAATTTTCCACCCTCTGAGGTTTCACACCCATAACAGAGGCAGAACACTGCTCGTGTGAAAGGGTTTTCCATAACAGCTGGCACTCGCTGTCTTGTGTCGAAAGCAATTGTCACAATGTTACATACACCAGATGCCGGCTTTTTTCCCTGCTCTGACTTTGTGTGACCTCATCATGAAAGGGGCTCTATTTTACTGCGATCTGCGGTGTACCTGGATGAGACACTTGCTGACGTCACTGGCGCACAGAGCTTTGTTGCAGCCGGAGGTGAGAGACAGCGCAGAGAGGAGGAAGAGGAGCGTGGTGGTGGCGGCAGAGGCGGGATGGATCAGCTGACCAGGCCTCATCCTGACGGCTCGCCTGCGCGGCACTGGAACACCTACCGCGACGACACACCACAGGCGGGAGAAATCTCAACAAGTGTGGAATGACAGCTTTTTCTGCTGTTTGCTTGGATGGGGTTGCTATAAAGCGATTCTGTGATGGCAGGACTGGGCTGTTAGTTTAAGACCTGACAACAACTTATCCTACCCTGTTGTGTTATATGAGGATGGTCCCTGAAGGCAACAGTAGACTTAATTAAGAACAACAGCTAGATGGATAGTTACTGAGACAAATGAGACAATTACACTAAGCATTTAAATGCAGTCACAAGGTCCATGAATGCAACCTTAGACTTTATTAGGGTAGGTAGAGAGATTTTACAAGGTCCCTGAAGGCAACGTGAGATTTAATTCATGGAGATATGTTAATGGGCGGATAAACAGATGGAAAGACATAAAGAGAAAAACTGTGATTTCAGACTCCTTGAAGGCAATATATGACTTGATCTAGAATTTATGGGTGGGCAATTCAATTTGTGAAGAGGCCACATGACAAACTGGACACTTGCCAAGGGCCAAGCAAATATTCTAAATTAGCGTGGTCTGTATTAATTTTATTGTATTTCAAAAGTGTATATCGTCTTGTTATTGTTGTGTTCCGTTATAGTATGAATTGTTATAATGAGAAAATGCACATTGAAAAAATGATAAGTGTTCCTTAAAATGTTATCTTAATGAAAATTCTCCCATTAACTTTGTGTACCAACTGCAAACCCACATTAGACTTTCCTAGTCAGGACTTTCAAATATAAAGATAGGTGTGAAGTGAAATATTATTGACCGTGATGCAAAATGACACAGTGATGACTTACAATACATCCAATATTTACAGTACCGGTACATGAAACTCAAATTTGCCATTATCAGGCCAAATCTTCCTGGCCTTCTCCCCTCCACCATCAAAATCAAAATTTTGCTGAAATTAGGACCACTGTTGTAAATTTTTTGCAAGTAAAGTCACAAAATAGAGCACAACGGTTGCTAAATTGGCAACACTGCACACGCAAGTTGTAGCTCTTGCTAGCACCCCCCCCCCCCCACTCCGTGTGCACATAAAAATAATAGCACAACTTTCAAAATAAAAGCAACTCATATTTTAAATTTTACTTTGACTTCAAGGTCACTGTGACCGGGCCGGAAGCCACACTTTGCCTTGGTTTGGTGAGGGTTAGGTTAACCCCAACCCTAGAGAGACAGACAAAGAGAGGTTACATAAATTGAGAGATTAATGGACAGGATTGAATTCAAGAGACAGTGTCTCTCGACTTCATTTTTGGAAGAACAATTACGTATTTCAGACGTGAAGGTAACATTTGAGCATTATAAACAACTTAAATATTAAAAGACGAGGTAATACGAGCAGGAGAACTTGTAGTGGTGGAAGAAGTATTTTTAACTGTGCTAGCAGTAGAAGAGGGACAACAATAAACATCTGGCAACATCAGCTTCAGTCTCGCGGATTTCCAAACCAACATGTTGCATTTTTCCCTTTCTCCCCACTCACACTAAAAGTAACTTTTCTTTTTTTTTTCTTCTTTCTTTTTTGTGCTTCTCAAAACACAACGTGCGCTCGAAATGAGGCTTTCAAATAGTTGAAAACTCACCAGGATGCCCAAAGAAGTCGTTTCTTTTCGAGTGGTTCGGTTCGGACAGTGTATGTGTGTTCGTGTGCGTGTGTGTGGGCTAACACAGGGCGTCAGTTTCAAGTCTTAAAGGCACACGCTCCATATTGGTCCTCGACTCCTCCGCGCGGTCTCCACGACCATGAGGAGAAAGAAGTAACCGGTGGGGGAGGTCTGAGGCGATTAGGGGGTGTCACTCGGATCTGACAACAAGTTGTAAATAATCGGAACTAAAAACACCACCATTGTTGTTGTTGTCGCCCCCCTCCCGCCTTTTTTTCTCTTCAGGCGACGCGCTGTGACGTCATCTTACCTGCAGGGCCATTCAGGTCCGCTTCCAATGACGTCCGGTCATGGTTGGTTTTCACTTTTTAATTTAATTCTATTAATTGTAATATAATACCTCAAGGGGAACTACAGGTTAGAATCGTTTTTTTTTTAAATTTTTTATGTGTACATTGTTTTATTTTTATTTTACTGTACGAGTCATGCCATAATACAGTACGGTATTGAGTTGTGCGCACCACCTGCTGGCGGAGAGTTTTACTGCAAATTGACAAGACATCTGTTTTAGATTAGTACTGTACTGTACTTCGATATACAGTATGACGTCATCGTCTTAATTTAAAATAAGGCAGTATAATTTAAAAGGTGTCACTGTAACAAAACTTTTCTAAATTTCAAAAATTTTATATGGAAATATTACACAAGATTATACTATAAAAACATTTCCACCAGAAATTTAAGAAATCATTAACTAACTTATATTAATATCATAGTATATTAATACACTAAATATATTTTCTTTTCCAATTATTTTATTCTATAAAAACAGTTTAAATTTTTTTCACATATTTAAAATGCAAATAAACAGATCTTTTATGATCTACATTTAAATGATTATACATGGAAATTCCAGAACTTTAAAATTGACTCTAAAAGAAGAGTGTATCTATTTAAAATAGGTCAAGACACTAACAATCATTTTTCCAATTCAGTCTACATTTAAAATAAAATTACACTTGGAAATTCCAGACGTAGTTCAACAATAATTATAATGAAATACAAAATGTTTAAATGGACAATAAAAGGGTATTTTATGAATTATGAAGGGTTTTCCGTGACTTCAGATGCATGTATCTCTTTTTAAAAGTGATTTTAAAAAAATCATGTTTCATAAAAATAAAAATCCCAGCACGAGCAAGCTTTAAGTTTCACAACAAATAAAATTTATTCAATTATATATTACAAGTATGTACAGGTCTTGTAACAAGTAAATATTAAAATAGACATTTTTTTTAGAACTATCGTTCATCAAAAGGCATGTTGAAAAAATAGCTTTTTGCTGTGATCTCACGTTGAAACTGTCAAAGTTCTGTTTATCTTTTGTAACTCCCTCGCTCTCCTCCATGGACTCGAATGCACACACAGGATGGCACGCACACAAACACACACGAGGAGGTGGCGAGTACACACAGGGAAGAAGGGAAAAAAAAAAGAATCAGGGATACTTGAAAAAAGGCATGCACAGTGTGAAATTGTGACATAGGAAAAACACACACACACACAAAAAGATGGTGAAAAAGCACATGAGGACATCACGGACACACCAAAAACAAACACTTTGGTCCATTAAAACAGGAGATGTTTACAATCAAAATATCTAGTACTTCTTTTTTGTTGGTTTGTTTTTGTACAGCGCTCTTTTAAACAATAATAATAATTACACAATTTTTTTTGCTATGTACAAATGCACAAGTTTTGTATGTAGAAAATAAGTTAAAAAAAAAAAAAAGAGCACAATCTGTACAATTTTGACGTTTTGTGTGAGCGAGAGAGAGAGAGAGAGAGAGAGAGAGAGAGAGAGAGAGAGAAAGTGACCCTGCTTAACGCGACAACGGTTAGCGCTGGAGGGTTCAGCGTCCTATTTTGCGTCCAGTTTGGCGCCGCGGCTTCAAGCGCTGGCCAATTCAGGCCTTTGAGTCTCCTGGACCGGCATCCGGCTGGATGGGGGTTCTAAGTGCTCCACGCCGCGCCAGTCGAGCGCGGTGCCCATTTAAGTGCTTCACATTGGGCCGTGGGCATGGCATTGCAGGCTTGGCTCATATGGGCGTGAGGTCAAAGTCGTCATTGACCTCCACCAGCGGGATGTAGAACTCGGGGATCTCGAAGATGCTGGTGGACTTGTAGGTGGCTGGCTCGAGCTCCTGGAGCTTGAGCTGCCACTCCAGACGCTGCACGGCATTCAGTGCCGCAGCCTCATGCTGCTGGCGCATCAGCAGGCACGTCTAGAAAATGTACAGTACATATTCATCAGTTCACTGAGAATTATCATACACATACACATATCCATATACACACACACATTATTTCACAAACACACACACACGCACACTTTTTACACACATTTAAACTACAAGTATTTCAATTTATCTTCAATTTTATAATTAATTTATCTTAAATGTTATATTTAATATATTTGTTATTCAAATAATTACAATATAAAACAAATATCAATTCTTACTACTCAATACTGGTGGTGGCCAGGCACGAGAAGTGAACTCATGCAACACAGGTGGGAAGCCTAACTCTGAGGTGATGCTGCAACTGACCTTGAGCTTGTCAAACTTGTCGTCGACGTCTTGCAGCCAAGACATGAACTGCCTGGCATTGAATCGGTCCCTCACCGACGTTTTGCCGTCGTCTGTCTGCAACGCAACCACACTCTTGTCAAGCGGTCGCCAGTCAAGGATGATCTGATGCAGGCATATCCAACTCTGGTCCTCGGGGGGCGCTGTCCTGCCTGTTTTCCATCGCTCCCTGCTGCACCATACCTGATTTCAAGGACCAGCTCATCAGCAAACTCTCAAGAAGCATGAGAACGGTCCTCATCATTTGAATCAGGTGTGTACAGCAGGGAAAGAGGGAAAACAGGCAGGACAGCAACCCTTGAGGAACGAGTTTGGACACCCGTGATCTAGTGGCTCCGGTGGTTCTTACTTGGACATCTTGGGGCATATTGTAGACTTCGGCGTCCAGCAGCACGGTGCAGGCGCTGAACGGTAGTGTCTGATTGGCCAGTGTCCTTGCCGCCCGATAGTGCACGCGCAGGACCTCCTGTTCGTTGGACACGATCAGCTTCTCCTAAGAGGGAAGAAAGAAAGAACCTGATCATGCATGATGTCAAAACTTGCAAGACTTGATTGATCGTGTCTGACTAGCATTATATGCCAGTGACTGGGTGAAAAATGGATAAATGGAAAACCGTAATTATATGCCGCCTCACCCTCTCAATACTGTGCTGCAGGCGCAGTTTCATGCGAACAACCTCCTGCTGCTTGAACATCTCCTTCAGTTGTTCGGGTAGTGAAGGAGGCGGCGTTATCTGTCCAGGATATTTTCGTCAATTAATCCTCTAGTTGTACATTTAGTGGTACGATACCGATGAATGTGTGGACTTACCGTGGGAATACAGAGCTTGCTGAGCGGGTTCCCGTCCAGGAGGTAGGAGCCGTTAAAGGTGACGTACTCATCGTAATACTGTGGAGGCTGCGGCGCTACACTACACAGTACTTTGCGCTTCTCCTCGATCTTCCTCCGGATGTGCAGGAACTCGTAGTAAGGGTTGGCGCGCTCTGTCTGGTAGGGCTCGATCTCCTCCAGCTTGACAGATGCCACAATGGCAGCGAGCGACTGCTGCTGGACGGGTTCATCGCTGTCCCGTTCAAGGTCCTGTTGTGGGACTGTACCCCCCTGGCAGGAGGTTGGCTTAGGCATCTTCCTTTTACGCGGGTGGGGCAATTGCAGGTCCACTTCCTCGTCCGATGAGCGGAGCTTGAGCTTGGCACCAGGGCAGTCTGACTCTGGTTCTCCAGACTGAGGCGAAGAACTGCTTGAGGTGCTATTGCTGCTGCTACTACTATTACTACTACTGCTGCTGCTGCTGCTGCTGCTACTGCTGGTGCTGCTACAGCTGCTGCTGCTCAGGTCACTGTGGCCCATCGGCTGCATGGCGGCCAGACAGGAGTCTTCGGCCGAGTACTCAGGTTTCCTGTCCAAAGGGTCCACTTCCATGGGCTCGGACTGAAACTCCACAGTCAGCTGCTCCTCAAGTGAAGAACTTGGAAGGTTCTCAGGTTTCTGCTGGACATTGCACATGTCTTGGTCCTTATTCGCGCTGGAATCATAGTCCGACATCTCCATTGTAGTGTCACAGGTGACTACATCAGGAGGTCTTGGATCCAGATTCTCATGTTGACATTTAATCTCTGTGCTTGGTAGAAATTCAGTAATGCACGTGGAGGGTATTGGACTTTCCGTCACCTCCACCTTGATGCTCTCAGGGATATTTTCCACACATTGATGTTCTGTGGCATCCATGGTCGCCGGTTTTTCCTTGTGGTCCAAAAGCTGGGCTGAAGGAGGGTCCACCGGCAGTCCGGCAAGGACACGAGTCTCTTGGTGTAGGCTTTCAGGGTCCGTGAGATCAGGTGTTTCTGTCAACAGAGATGCTGATGGAGGGTCAAAGTCCGCCTTGGTAGCTTCCAGTTGCAAATTTGGACTTTCCAGACAGGGGATGTCCCTCATGACAGTGGCATCAGAGGGTTCTATTGGCAGACTACCACACAGAGTGAGACTTGGAGGCTCTCTGTTCGGTGAGGAACTGCCATCATTATCTTTATACTCTGCGACTGAATCAGTGGTTGAACAATGTTGACCGTCGCTCACCTCTTCTCTTTCTGTTGACATCTCCCTTGTCTGCAGAACCTCTCTATTGGATTTTGGTGGACTGTCAGTCAACCTGGTTTCAGTCGATGCGTTGGCATCCTCGTCCAGGATGGCCCTGAGGTAAGGAGATTCATGTCTGCTGGGAAGTGTCAGTCGTGGCGCAACCGGAAGAACAACGCAGTCCTTTTCCAGAACAGATGGCAATCTGGTGGCCTGGATGACGAGGGAAGACTGCAAGATCGTGGGCTGCGTGTCAGCCGGCTCCGGGTTCATGTCGGAGTCATATTCCACATGCTTAGGGGTCATCGCCACTGCCTGACAGGAATCCTCTGAGCTAGCAACTGAGACCAGGGACACGGACCTGGACATGAGGCTGCAGTGTTCGCCCTCGGGCCGCGGGGATCTGCTCAGGCAGTTCTCAACTGCAGACATGACCTTGTTGCCGATGGAAGGCAGGCTCTTTCCGTCTAGTGACACAGTCCTGAGACTGGAGACGTCCTTCAGGGGTTTCTCCCTGCCGTGGGTGTCAGAAACTTCAGAGCTTTTGGA